AGGAGGAGGAGGAGGAGGAGGAGGAGGAGGAGATTGGATTTATACCCTTCACTTGGAGTCTCAGAGCGGCTTACAATCTCCTTTCCCTTCCCTTCCCCACAACAGACACCCTGCGAGGTAGGTGGGGCTGAGAGAGCTCTGACAGAAATGGCTCTTTTTCAAGGACAGCTCCGAGAGAACTATGGCTTGCCCAAGGTCATCCAGCAGGTGCGAGTGGAGGCGTGGGGAATCAGACCCGGTTCTCCCAGATTAGAGTCCGCGCACTTAACCACAACGCCAAACTGGCTGAATAAAACTCAGGGGTACCCAGATGAAATGGATGGGAAATAGATTCGGGATAAAAAGGGAGCACTACTTTGCTCGATGAGTAATTATATTGTGGGGTTCACTGCCGGGGAATGCAGTGATGGCCACGAATGTATTTCAAAAGGGATGAAGCAGATTCATAGAGGAGAGGACCGGTAGATACTAGCCACGGTGGATAAAGGGAACCTCCATAGTCAGAGGCAGTCTACCCCTGAATCCCAGTGCCAGGAGGGCAACATCAGGGGAAGGCCTCGGCCTCTCTGCCCTGGTGTTGGCCTTCCAGAGGAACTGGTTGGCCCCTGTGTGAGACGGGATGCTGGACTTGATAGACGAGTGGTCTGATCCGGCAGGAATCTTCCTAGGTTCTTGTGAAGGCCTCGGCCTCTCTGCCCTGTTGCTGGCCCTCCAGAGGAACTGGCTGGCCCCTGTGTGAGACGGGAGGCTGGACTAGGTGGACCCTCCCTGGTCTGACCCAGCAGGGCTCTTCTGGTGTCCTTCTCAGGGGAAGGCCTCGGCCTCTCTGCCCTGTTGCTGGCCCTCCAGAGGGACTTGCTGGCCCCTGTGTGAGCCGGGATGCTGGACTGGATGGACTCCCAGTGGTCTGATCTAGCAGGGCTCTTCTTACGTTCTCGTGACTCCAAGGAAGAGGCGGTTCCAAGAGAGGCTGGTTTGGACTCTCCCTTCTTGGCAAGGTCCAGATGGCCCATCAAGAGCTCTCCGCTCCGCGGACCGAGCGGCCTGGTCGCTGGCCCTGCGCCCGGAACCTCAGGTTGCGCGCACATCCTTACCTGATGGGCCTTTTCCGCTGACCGGGAGAAACGGGCTCTCGTTGACGCTTCCACTTCAACTTTGATCTGCTGTTTGTTTGTTCTCTGGCATGGAACGGACGCCCTGCGGCTCCCCACAGCCGTGGCAACCGGCCACCCGGCCTGGCGAAGCACCAGGTCAAACCGGCCCAGAGGACCTGGGTGGGAGAGGGAACCAGGGGGAGGGCCCTGCAGCACCCCCAAGGAGACGGCCCTTCCGCAAAACAGGAGGAAAACCGCCTCCCAGAGTGGGGTCACAAGCAGAGGACGGGGAAGACGCCGCACCTGACACTCTTCCAAGCCAGAAAGATCGATTCAAGGCCCTGAGCCCAGAAAGCCGCCCAGCCTGCCAGTAAAGACCAACCTGATCTCGGCACCCCTCCTTCTTCAGCGGTGGGACCCCCCCCCTTGATCCTCACCTGGCACCACTCGCAGCTGCTGGGTGACCTTGGGCCAGTCACAAGCTCTGTCAGAGCTGTTCTCTCAAGGACAGTCCTCGGAAGCGCTGCTCTCTCAGCCCGACCTAGCTCACAGGGTTCAAGTTAATTCATGCCATAGCATTCCCCATTACTATGTATGGGTGGGAAAGTTGGACAATGAAGAAAACTAACAGGAAGTCAGTTTGGTGTAGCTGTCCCCGAGAGGAGGGCAGGGAGCTGTTCCTGTGGGCAGCAGAGGAGAGGACTCGCAAGAATGGGTTGAAATGAAGGGCAGGAAGGTACCGGCTGGAAATTAGGGAAAACGTTTTGACTGCCAGAGTTGTCCAGCGTGTGGAATCGGCTCCCTGGGGAGGTGGTGAGCTCCCCCTCCCTGGCAGTCTTCAAGCAGCAGCTGGACCAACACTTGTCAGGGATGCTCTAGGCTGATCCTGCACTGAGCAAGGGGGTTGGACTAGATGCCCTCTATGGCCCCTTCCAGTTCTGTGGTTCTATGATTCTCTAATGCCTCGGCTGTGTTTTTAACAGCACTGTAATTATTTTTCCACCACCTTCTGATTTGGTCCTTACTCTGTAATTCACCCCAAGGCAGTCAGAATGCTGCTGCAGGCAGCCACCACCACACCACCCTGGTTATCCGCGCCCCCTTTCCCTGCCGTCTCTCCCCCCCCCACAACAACTCACTGCATGTCGGGGAAGGCCTTGGCGAGGAACCCCACTTCCATCTGGATGGCCGGCGTGTCTTCTAGCTCAATCATCCCGGCCAAGTGCGGCACGGCGGCGTCCAGCCAGGAGGAGGTGGATTTCTGCGAGGAAGGGAGGTGGGGGGGGGATGTCAGTGGCTGTCAGGGCAGGGAGTTAATTATAGCTCGCCCAGGGAGGGGGGAGAGACGGGCTGCCGAGCTGCCCCAGCAAACAAACCGGAGGAAGTGACCTTTTCAAACAAATCACACGCGACCCGCGGAACTCCCTGCTGGGGGACGCGGGGCAGCGAGGCAGAGTTCCCCCCCCCAAGGATCTTATAAACAACAGGAGTGAACCGTCTGTCAAAAAGACAAATGTCTTTTTTGCACGGTGGGAAGCCTCCGCTCAGAAGCGCGCGGGAGAGGAGAGCCGTGACAGGGAGGAGGGACAGGCCCCCTTCGTGGTTCCCACCCATTTTCCCATGCAGCCCCCTCCCCAGCTACTCTTCTGCGGCAGGGCCCTGAGACCTGCAGGGTTGCCAGCCTCCAGGCAGGGCCTGGAGGTCTCCCTGAATAACAGCTGCTCTCCAGAGGGTAGAGATCAGTTTCCCTGGAGGAAACGGCCGCTTTGGAACATGGACTCTATGGCTTTATATCCTGCTGAGGTCCCTGCCCTCCCCAGATTCCACCCTCCACAGGATCCACCCCCAAATCTCCAGGGATTCCCAAGACTGGAGTTGGTAAGCCTGATTCAGCTGGGAGAAAAGTGCCCAGGGAGAGATTCTGTAAGGAGAAACTTCCCGGGGAGAGAGAGAGAGGGAGAGAGAGAGAGAGAGGCCGTAGCTCAGCTACAGTGTTGCCTGTAAGCTGAGTGAGTGTGAGCCAGCTCACAGTCTTTTAGCCACCGGCTCGCACGTTTTTGTCCTAGCTCAGGAAGGAGGGCTCCAGAGCAAACTAATTCATGCCGTAGCCAAATTGCTCGCTTACAGGGAACACCGGCTGCAATTCTGGGAGATCTCCAGGCCCTACCTGGAGAGGTTGGCAACCCTGAAGCCCCAACCCTGATTCTTGGGCATTCACAGATGCACACAGACTGGGGGGGTCTCTAGAACAGAGGTGTCAAACGTGTGGCCCGGGGGCCGGATCAGGCCCCACGGAGGGCTTCTATCAGGCCCGCAGTGGAACTGGCTGTCTTCTGCTTCTTCTTCTGCTTCTTCCAGTTTTGCTGCTGCTGCGTCATCGTAGGTTTGCAGCTTACAGATACGCACACCCGAAAAGCATACTCAAGATTGCAACGGCACAGACATTTTGATGCAATAATTCAGAGCGAGAGGTGTCAGTTATCAGACACTGTTCAATAAGCAAAATATTGCAGGAGTGCTAATGTTTTAAGCATGTTTTTATTTTAAGTAAAGAAACCCAACCCTTTGCGTTTGTGTCCTTTATAAAGTTTATATCTCCGCTACCTGGCATTACGTCTTATGACACACGTGGCCCGGCCCAACGAGGTCCCATTTATGTCAGATCTGGCCCTCATAACAAATGAGTTTGACACCCCTGCTCTAGAACATGCCCCAGAATCCCTTGCCAAAAAACCCCAGAACACAACTCAGCGCCCCACCTGCCTCCTCTGCACATGACGAGCCCTGTTCTTCTGCCCTCCTACCCATTTAAAAGCCTCTACCACCACCACCCCGCACCCCCACACACACACAGAAATCTCTCACCAGCTGGGCGAAGAACTCCTGGAGCTGTTGGGCCTCACTGCGCAACTTGGCTGCCATTTTGGATCTCATCTTTGAGGACGTGCAGATGATCCGAACTCGCATCAGGGGGCGGACGTATTCGGTGAGGACCCCGTGGTGCAAGTCTTTCACCAGCATCTGGTTGGCCAAAACAGAGTGGGGGCGGGGGGCGAGGGAAGACCAGCAATGGGAACGAGCTATGAGTTCTGGGGCACGGAGCAGAAAGGGGTTGGCTGAATCCAGGGGTCATTTCCTGCAGGAGCGCCCAGGAGCGGAGCTCCGGCAGTAAGGCGCTCAGGGGGCGGGCCCATGCAACAGGCCCCACCCCCTGCTCCCAGCAGCCCTCAGTCGGGCCACGAAAATCTTGTTGGGTTTCTAAGGGGCTGCTGAACTCGAACCCAGCGCTAGCTCTGCCAAGGGGTCACGTCGGTGGCTCGTGCAGGTCACCTCACCTCGTATGGCTCTGGCTTCATCTTCTTCAGCTTCTGGGCGTGCTCTGAGAGGAGAGCCATGATGGTGTTGAAAGCCTCGGAGTTGTTCAGCCACTTCCTCTTCATCAGCTTGTGGAAGTAGGGCTGCGGGGGGGTGGTGGCAGGGAGGAGATCAGAGGGATTGTCCTCCTCCGCAAGGGGGAAGCAAGCAGTGGGATCGGGGCCGGGGAGCAGCCGGGCTTTGCCCCTGTGCAGAAGGGGGGACCCGGGCAGGGGCTGCAGGTTCCTGCCCACCCACATTCCCAGCATCCCTGGCTCTCAGTGGCAATGATGGCGTGAGCAAGAGTTTGGGGGGGGAGCCTCCCTTTCCCCAGGGCCCCTCCTCCACCGGAGCCGGGGTCTGATTCTGGAAGGGTTGACAGATCCGGGTTGGGAAATACCTGGAGATTTTGGAGGCGGAGCCTGAGGAGGGCGGGGTTTGGGGAGGGGAGGGACTTCAGAGGGGTATAAAGCCATAGAGTCCACCTTCCAAAGAAGCCATTTCCCCCAAGGGGAACGGATCCGTTGTAAAAGCGAGAGATCGCCAGCTAACACCTGGAGGTTAGGAAAAAACGAGCTCACCAAAGAAAATCACTCTTCTATCATTCTAACACACTGAGTTGTACTTCTATAACAAATTTCCTGTATCAAACAACAAGAATGAGTGTTGTTTAATACAGGAAATTGGTTATAGAAGTACAGCTAAGTGAGTTAAAATGACAGAAGAGTGATTTCCTTTGGTGAGCTCATTTTTTTCTATTGTATTCGCACCGAAGCCTGTCTTGTTTTTAACACCTGGAGGTTGGCAACCCTAGATTCTGGCCACGCCCTCCCTTTCTCTCCCCACCCCCGGATGTTCCCCTGGGAGTCAGCCTATAAGGAGATGTTTGATTCCCACACCCAAATAGAGAATCTGGACAAACTAGTTCTCTGAGAATTCATCTATCAAAACATTTAGCCGCAGATAATCTCCAGGATCTATCGGGCAGAAGTTGACTCGCCACCTTGAATTTCTGTTAGGACCAGGGGTCATTTCCTGCAGGAGCGCACAGGGGCAGCGCTCCGGGAGTAAAGAGCCTAGGGGGCGGGTACATGCAACAAGCCCTACCCCCTGCTCCCAGCAGCCCTCAGTCAGAGCAAGAAGCAGCCAGGTAAGTTGCAGAGACCCCTCCCAGCCCCCCGGTCCAAAACAGTCCAGTGACACCTTTAAGACCAAGTTTTATTCAGATACAAACTCTCCCTCCTCTGCGAGGACAGATCTTCATATTCCCCCCCCCCCCAATAGCTAGCAATCCAAAACAGTCCAGTGGATCCTGAGCTGTGGGTGTTGCCTTCTGACACACTTCCGGTGATGTCAGGGGGTGTGGCACATGCAAATGAGTTATGCTAATGAGTTATGCTAATGAGCTCCTGCACCTCTTTTTCTACGAAATGACCCCTGGTTAGGACAAATGAAGCCGGCCCTCCCCGAAAGGAATACCTTCAGGTTCTGAAAGAGCTGGTTGGTGAGCACCCGGTTGCAGAGCCGTGTCACCTTGTCCAGAGAGGCGTTGGCCTGGCCCTCCGCTGTCTCGCTCTCAGGGTGACCGCATCTCGCCAAGTCCCTGACGTATTTCCTGAGGAAGAAACGGCTGTCACTTGGGGGTGCGTGCAAAGGGTGGAAATAGCAGGCATTCACACACCAGCTCCTCTCCGTACATAGAGAAAATCCGGCTGACTCAGGAGCCGCTTCAAGGCATCCGACGGAGCCCATGAAAAGCTGTCCTGCGAGACTCAAAACAGGCTGTGATAGGCCAGAAAGGCTGCCAGTCTCCTGGCTCACCGCAGGCGTGTGGAGAATGCCACAGTTGTGGGAGCGGGGCAGGCCGCCATACCACTGCAAGATCGCCTGCTCTTTCCGGCCTACGAGCTCCAGGCCCGCCCAGCCGTTGGCTGAGCCAGGGTGATGACACGGAATGTTCACAAACACTCTAAGGCGGGAAGGGAATATGACGGCAAAAGTATTTGGCAAAGACCGCCTTTTCTGGGGCGGTGGGGTTTACACGGCTGCCCCTGCTTTGTCATTCAGGCTGGATGGGAAGCGGGGGGGGGGGGGCGGAACTCACCGGAAGGGTGGGCAGCAATTGACGAGGGCGATCGTCCGGCTTGTGTAGCTGTCGGCCGGTAGGCTGCACTCTGCTTGCCCCTCGTGGAACTTCTCCACCTTCCTCTGGAAACTGGGGGAGATGAAGGGGGGGGGACGACAAAGGGGAAGCAAAGTCGGTGGGGTGGATTATTGATTGATTGGTTGGTTGGTTGGTTGGTTGGTTGATTGATTTTGAGATTTTTTTTATTCTGCCCTTCCCAACAGCGGGCTCAGGGCGGATCACACAAGAAACTGAGCCCAAGACTCATTACATAAAACCACATTAAGATCATTAAAACAATAAGCAATAAATATCACACAGGTAGCGACGAATCTAAACCTGTTTGAGCCACAAGGTGAAACCAAAAGGACCCCTTCAGCAGATTGGAGGAGGAGAGGAGATTGGATTTATCCCCCCCCCCCTTCACTTGGAGTCTCAGAGCGGCTGACAAACACCTCTTCCTTCCCCTCCCCACAACAGACACCCTGTGAGGTAGGTGGGGCTGAGAGAGCTCTGACAGAAACGGCTCTTTTCCATGAACACCTCTGACAGAACTACGGCTTGCCGCATGTGGAGGCGTGGGGAATCAAACCCGGTTCTCCCAGACTAGAGTCCACGCACTTAACCACTACCACCAAACTAAATGCCCCCTGCAAGCACAATTTCATTCTCAGGTGCCCATCGCTGTGGCCTCAGGGCTGGTTAGGGTTAGGGTTAGGGTCTCCCAACCCTCTCCCCATGCAAGTGTCCTCCGTATTCCCCAATTTTACCCAGTGCCAAGCCAAGAGAACACCTTGTTTCCAACCCACCCCCATCCCTCCAAAGTCCAACTTGGCCCTGTCAACCCCACCCCTGCTGTGCCTCCCAGGTCCCTCCTTCCCCCTCCCCTCCCCACAACAGACACCCTGTGAGGTAGGTGGGGCTGCGAGAGCTCTGAGAGAACAGCTCTGGGAGAACTATGGCTTGCCCGAGGTCATCCACCAGCTGCAAGTGGGGGAGTGGGGATTCGGGGAATGAAACCCGGTTCTCCCGGATTAGAGTCCGCGCACTTAACCACGACACCAAAAAGCCACCTAAATAAGAAGAGGACGGCAGCAAAAGATAACATGAGTCCAGAGCAGCCTAATACACTTCCTGGTAGGAGTTAGCAGGATAGTAGTCATCAGCAATGCTCCCTCTAGGCTGTGGAGTCTTGTGAGCGAGAATTCTACTTTGTGAGCTCCTGGCATTAAAGTTGTGAGTGGGCAACTTGGCTGCTGCTTAAATTAGTTTGCTCCGGAGCCCTCCTTCCTGAGCGAAGATAAAAATGTGTGAGCCGGAGGCTAAAAAACTGTCAGCTAGCTCACACTAACTCAGCTTAGAGGGAACACTGGACATTGGTAGGCCTCCTACGGGCAGGGGAGGCCGAGATGGTAAAAAAACAACCGCCGCCTCAACCAAAGGCCCGGTGGGTAAAGCAGTTCCACTTTACAGGCCCTGCGGAATTGCAACTGTCCGGTGGAGGCGTGGGGAATCAAACCCGGTTCTCCCAGACTAGAGTCCACGCACTTAACCACTACCACCAAACTAAATGCCCCCTGCAAGCACAATTTCATTCTCAGGTGCCCATCGCTGTGGCCTCAGGGCTGGTTAGGGTTAGGGTTAGGGTCTCCCAACCCTCTCCCCATGCAAGTGTCCTCCGTATTCCCCAATTTTACCCAGTGCCAGCCAAGAGAACACCTTGTTTCCCATCCACCCCCATCCCTCCAAAGTCCAACTTGGCCCTGTCAACCCCACCCCTGCTGTGCCTCCCAGGTCCCTCCTTCCCCCTCCCCTCCCCACAACAGACACCCTGTGAGGTAGGTGGGGCTGCGAGAGCTCTGAGAGAACAGCTCTGGGACAACTATGGCTTGCCCGAGGTCATCCAGCAGCTGCAAGTGGGGGAGTGGGGATTCGGGGAATCAAACCCGGTTCTCCCGGATTAGAGTCCGCCCACTTCACCACGACACCAAAAAGCCAACTAAATAAGAACAGGATGGCAGCAAAAGGTAACATCAGTCATCCCCAAACGGATGTCCTCCTTTTCCCTCAGTGCCCCCTGCATGCCCGGGCTCCGCGGTGCCATACCTCTGCAGGAATTCCGCCAGGCAGGACAGGCAGCACTGAGACATCCTTCTCCCGAAGTCCGCCGTGATCTGGGGGGCTTTGTCCGTGTGAGTCCTTAACACCTGCGAAGCGGGAGAAAGATTCAGTGCCGGCCGGGGCAGAAGGATTCGAGCGTGTCCAGAAGAGGGCAACCGGGACCGTGAGAGGGTTGGAACCCAAGTCTTACGAGGAAAGGCTGAAAGAGTTGGGTCTGTTTAGCCTGGGAAAGAGAAGGCTTAGAAGGGACACGATTGCAGTCTTCAGATATCTGAAGGGCTGTCGTGTAGAAGGTGGAGCAGATCTATTCTCTCTTGCTCGGGATTGCAAGACTAGATCTAATGGGTGGGAATTACAAGGGAGTCGATACCGGCTAAAGATCAGGAGAAACGTCCTAACTGTAAGAGTGGTTCAGCGGTGGGACAGACTGCCTCGGGAGGTGGTGGAGGCTCCTTCACTGGATGTTTTGAAGCGGAGGCTGGACGACCCTCTTTCGGGTATGTTGTAGGGCTGTCTTTCGGCTCTGCTCCTGCAGAGTGCAGGGGGTTGGGCTAGATGACCTGCAAGGTCCCTTCCAACTCTAACATTCTATGATGCTATGATTAGGAGCTTTCTGAGGCTGTTCCCCGAAGTCTCCTCCTCCTCGGCTGCAAACAGGGACAGCTGAAGTGACAGGCTGGCCGTTTCCGCAGGGAACAGCTTGGAGGAAGGTTTCCCACTTGGAGGGGGCCGAGGTCTCTAAGGGTCCATCTCTGCTCCCTCTGCTCCAGAAGCCACTGTGCAAGGACACATGGGGCAGATTCACACAGATGTGGAGCATGCAAACAAAACAGAAAGTCCAGAAGATATGAGAGGGAGTCCAGAAAATGGCAAATGACTGGTTGAGTGGCACCTGACGTGATCCCCAAGCGGAAGGTACGGGACTCCAGAAACATCCCATCAAGGAAGGCAAGGGCAAACCACCTCTGCTTCTCCCTTGCCTTGGAAGCCCTTTGCTGGGGTGGCCACAAGTTGGAAGCTCAGCAGGGTCGGTACTTGGAAGGGAGACCACCAAGGAAGGCTCTGCAGAGGAAGGCAAGGGCAAACCACCTCTGCTTCTCCCTTGCCTTGGAAGCCCCTTGCTGGGGTGGCCATAAGTTGGAAGCTCAGCAGGGTCAGTACTTGGAAGGGAGACCACCAAGGAAGGCTCTGCAGAGGAAGGCAAGGGCAAACACCTCTGCTTCTCCCTTGCCTTGGAAGCCCCTTGCTGGGGTGGCCATAAGTTGGAAGCTCAGCAGGGTCAGTACTTGGAAGGGAGACCACCAAGGAAGGCTCTGCAGAGGAAGGCAAGGGCAAACCACCTCTGCTTCTCCCTTGCCTTGGAAGCCCCTTGCTGGGGTGGCCATAAGTCGGAAGCTCAACAGGGTCTGTACTTGGAAGGGAGACCACCAAGGAAGGCTCTGCAGAGGAAGGCAAGGGCAAAACACCTCTGCTTC